ACAAGCAACAAAAAACTGAGAAGTAGAAAATAAAGGTGGCAGTGTCTTATAATTGCTATTTTGAAAAACATAATGATAAGCTTTTACTTTCTAATTCAGATCATTTAACCTTACCATCATACTATTTTTTAAAAAGGTAAATCAGTGTCTTGAAGACATCATTCTTGGAGCCTTCTGGTCTCTGTTTTAATTTGGACTACTTGTTTCCTCCCTTCCATCCCTTCTTTCCTCCCTCCCTTCTTCCTTTCATTCAACAAATATTTATTAAGTTCCCACTGTATACTTGGCACTGTTCTGAGTGTTTCTGATACAGCAGTGAACAAGGCTGTATGTTATGTGGAGCTTACATTATAGTGGAGTAGATATACAATAAACAAAATGCCATATAAAAAAATAAAACATGGTAAAGGCTTGTGGTGGGAGTGGAAAAGAAAGATAAGGTAGGCTACTAAGGGGAAGTGACAATGAGCAGAAACCTAAGTGAAATGAAGGAGTAACCTGTTTGAAGAGTTTGCCAGCAAGCACAAAGACACGGGTGAGATTTAGCTTGGCATGTTCAAGGAACAGCAAGAACGCCAGTGTGACTAGAGCAGAGTGTGCACTGAGGAGAAGTAGGTAAATCAGAGAGGGAGGCAATGGGAAGAAGTCTGGGTTGTGTTGAGATGAGATGCTCTTGTAGGGTTTGGATCAGGACGATGGTATAATCTATGACATTTTTAAAGCCCAATTTGGCTGCTGGATGTAAAGAATGGAAGAATACGCAGACTACTTAAGGCGTTAATGGAGTAGTCAAAATGAGAAATAATAATGACTTGAACAGGATAGTGGTGGTAGAAATGGTGAGAAACGGTCTGATTTAGCATGTGCCTTGCAGGTAGAACTGATAGGACTTCCTAATGGATTAGTTGTAGAGTAAGAGAAGAAGAGTCAAGGATAAAACTTAGGTTTTTAGTCTGAGATGAAGACCAGAGAGGAGCAGACTGTGTTTTGGCTGTGTAAATTTGAGATTATTTGATGTCCAAGTGGAGATACTTACAAGTGGAGTAGGCAGGCTATGAGTTTGGATCTCAGAGGAGAGGTTGGAAGTGGAGATTTGCAGGGGAGTGGTCAGCACAAAGATGATGTTTAATGCTGTAATGAAATCATGTAAGTAACTATAGAAGGGAGAATAGATCTGAGGTCTGAACCGTGGGGTACTCCGACATTTAGAGGTTGAGAACAGGAGGATCCAGCAAAGGAGACAGAAGGAGCAACCTTTGAGGTAGGAGGAAAATCAGGGGAGAGTGGTGTCCCGGAAGCCAAGTGAAGAAAGCATTTCAAGGAAGGAATGATGAGCTGAGAGCTGATCATTGGCAAACTCAGTAAGCTGTGTTAGTTTTAAGTCAGCTGCGCGTCTGTCGTTGTTTCTTTTCATTACACTCCTAGCTTAGGTACACTTTATCTTGACACCACCCCTCCTTAGATTCCTTTTTTTCCTGTTGTTGGAGTACATCCTCAGATTCTTTCTGGAAGAGTCATTGGATGGCAATGTCTAAGTCCTTGCTTGTCTGAAAATGTCCTAAAACTCTGGCAGTGAGACTCAGGAATCTGCATGTATGACAGGCTCTCTAGAGCAATTTTGTAGACACCTTAAGGTTTGAAAACCATTTCTTTAGAAAGAATTTTCTTAGTTTCATCCTGGAGGCAGGACAAAGGCCTGCTACCTTTGTTGGTTGCACAGTAATTCTGTAGATGGGTTTTTCAGTCTCATCTTGATTTTTGACATCCTTTACTTAGTGGAGCACAACTTAAGGGGCTGTGAAAGTCTTAGTTTTGGCTCCTTCCTCTTTGTTTTGTCTAACAGTGTCATCATATCCATCTTCCGGAAGGTCAGGGCTCTTCTTAGTCCAGTAATATACTACTCTGTCATTCTCAGCACTTTCATGAATGTGTTTATACCTGTTTACTGCCTGTGTATATATATTTTTTTACTTGAAGGGAGGGAAGAGCAAAAGCCTGGACTCAGGTTGTCATCTTAAACTGGAAACTCACTTTAATCTTTATTCATTAGTTTTTTGCACAGCCTTAGCAAAGCAAGTTGATACTTTTTAACATTTTATTTTGAAATAATTTCAAATTTATAGAAATGTTACAAGAACAATAGAAAGAACTCCCCTATATCTTTTCTTAGATTCATTAGTTGTTAACGTTTTGCAGCATTTGTACCCCCCATGCATACACCTATTTTTATTATTTTCTGAACCATTTGAGAGTTAGTTGCAGATATCTTGTTCCTTTTCTGCTAAATACTCCATTCTCTCACATAACCACACTATAATTAGCAAATTCATGAAATTCAACATATAAGAATATTATGCAGTATACAGTCCATATTCAGATTTTGCCAATTGCTCCAATAATGTCCTTCATGCCATCTTTTTTCCCTGATTTAGGATGCAATCCAGGATCATGCATTGCATTTAGTTGTGATGTCTCTTTAGTCTCCTTTAATCTGGAACAGTTAGTTCCTCAGCCTTTTTGTCTTTAATGACGTTGACATTTTTGAAGAATACAGGCTAGTTGTTTTGTAGTATGTTCTTCAAATTGGGTCTGCCTGTTGTTTCTTTATTAAATTCAGTTATGTTTCTGGCAGAACACCTTAGCACTGATCTTGTGTGCTTCTCAATGTATCACATCAGGATGCACATGATGTCAGTTTGTCCTGTTATTGATGATATTAACTTCGATCACTTGATTAAGGTGGTGTCCTCCAGATTTCTTCACTGCTGTGTTACCATTTTCCCCTTTGAAATTAATCAGTAATCTGTGGAAATACTTTGAGACCATCTAAGTATTTTTTTCCTCTTCAAACTTTTACTCACTAGGTCTTAGCATCCATGGATGATTCTTGCCTGAATCAGCTATTGCTACTTTAGTTGCTAAGTGACGATCTTCTAATTCTTACTCCTTCTACATTTATTACTTGACATTCTACTGTAAGGAAGAGCTTTTCCTTCCTATTTATTATCAGTGTGAACTCATGGGCTTTTATTTTATTCACTGAGTTCTAATCAGTTTACTGAGTATTCCTTTTGATCCTCAAATTGTCCCAGATTCAGCCAGCAGGAGCTCCTTCAAGCTGTCTCCTGTGTCTTTTTGACTCGTCTTCATCATGTTTTTAGCACTTCCTGCTTCCTGACATAACACGTGATGTTCCATACTCATCTTGGCCAAACTCTGAGGTCAGCCATTTCTCTAAGGAGCCATGATTCCTTTTATTGGTGGGGAGATTGGTATTTAGAAACCAAGATCTGGATGACAAGTTGATTCTTGAGAGCTCGGTCTGCTGTTTGGCTTGTCATGTGTGTTCACCACATTTATTTTTAGCCTTTTATAGTGGTGGAGAGCCCCAAGGAACATAGTACACAAATTCTATTGCCTTTAGTGGCTCACTGTTAGGAAGGCATTTTTTCTCCATCTTCAATGTTCCTGTGTTTTTTGAGAAGGAGATTTATAGACCCTGGTCATAAGAAAACAATTAACTGTGTTTGTGTGTTGTGTACGTGTATGTAAGGTTGAATGTTGATAGGAATCTGTATCCTTGGAGAGGCATATAGTTTTTCATCTTTCTTGGAATCACATCAAAGTGACATCTACTTTTATATATTTATGTTTTTCACTAACAGTTTCTCTGTAATAATATGGCTTTTGTTAGATTTGGCATTATTTTTCAGATCAAACTTGATTTCAGGTGGAATTTTAAACTTAAGAATCTTTGGTATATCTATTAACATGAAAGCAAAATATGATCCTTTAGTAAATTAAACTGAAAACATTGTCTCAGAGCTTGCCATTTTAAGAATGAAGGTGGGCTAAAAATTTTATATGTATGCATACACATATAAACACATATAAACATGGGAGGCAAAGCTAGGCAAGGGGAGGAGATAGGAAAATGTAGGATATGTGCTGAGAAATGATAAGTTCCTCAGATAGTGGGATTAGAACATTCATGTGGGAAAGGAGACAAAAATGAAAGGAACAAGTGGTTGGGGCCCAGTGGCAGAAACCTTGAATGCCCAGCTAAAATGTTCAGGCTGTTTTCTAGTAATTCATAATAAGACAGTTACGGATAAATCCATGTCCTTAGTGATGCTGAGAAAGAGGACACAGCCTTATCCAGCCCTAGAGACCAGTTTGTTCCTCTCAAGGAATAAATGTTTGAATTGTGAATTCCTGTTTCCAAGGGAATGTCTTGCAATTATATATGGCAGTTCAGAATGCCTGGAAAGTGTTTTGTTTTCTCAGGTCCAGCCATTTAATATTTATTGCTTGTTTACAACTACACCCTGAACCTTATTTTAGGAGAATGTAGCTAATAAAAACAAGGGTATTTATTTAGTTTTCTCTCTAGGCTTTGAAGCATATTTGTGCATACTTTGGAGGAAGTGAAGCAAATGAACTGATATTTATTGAGAGCCATATATACCACACAGTATGTCAGTAGCTTTATACATGCTATCTCAATCAGTCCTCAGAAACCGCCCTTACAGAAAAGTAGTGGCAGTCTTCTATTTTATACGAAGGAAATTGAGGTTTTGAGGGGTCAAGTCCAAGTCATATATGTAATAATTGTCAAAGGGGAGATCCAAACATTGGTCTGTCTGATTTGTTTGAGAATTGCCAATCATTCAGAGCATTGTTCTTTGAAGCTCTCAAAAGTCTATAGTAAAGGGATTCTGTGCTCTTTAAATATAGAAGCTTAAGGCCAGGAGGTGAAGATGGTTTGGATGGAGGGCAGTTACAAGTGATATTTGCTGGCATGCAAAAATAAGAACAGAAAATGGGCCAAGAGGAGTATTCCTTATAGCCAGGCAGAAATGTCTGTTAGAATATGTAGGAAAGGAACACAGCATCATAGGACTTGAGTGAATGTGAGCCTAAGGGAAGATTAGTAGCAGTGATTTTATCAGAAGTGAGTCATCTGACAGCTCTAATCAGAATCACCCCCTTTATTATAGCTGAGGTCATCCATGTGCTTTCCCTGATGTGCCTGTTTCAAGAAGATATTGATTCCAGACAAGTGAAACATACCTGAAGATTCTGGCCTGAACATTATAATTGACCTGACAAGAAAGTGAGCTTCAGATTTTACAACCTGGTGGTGGTGGTGGTGATAAGGTTAGAAGTACTTAACAGTCTGTGTTTCCTTCTACGGCATTACTTTCCAAACTTCCACCAGTTCCTGGAGGGGAAGGAAATTGAAAACATGCCAGCAGGGATCTTGAGGCATCACCTGAAGTGATCAGGGAGTAATTTTTTTGGAAAGCTCCTGTTTTGTCTTTAGGCAGATCTTTTGTTTATTTCCATATCTGCTTGTTTCAGTTGAAAAATAAGTTATTTTACTGGTTAAGTATCTCCTTACCAGTAGATAATCTCCAGGTAGAACCGACTGTCTGGGAAGATGGTGTTTGTTTTACTGTGACTTGGCAGTCTCCCCCCTTGCCCAGAGCAGGTACCCCAGTGCCAGAAGCACTGTCTCCCAGGGTTTGCGCTGCTGCACAAGCACTTGCAGAGGCCTTATAGCTAACACAAGGGGCTGGCCACATTGCTCTTGACTTCCCATGCCTTATGACTCCCTCACTTTTCTTGTTTCTCTGTCCTCTCAGGTATGGATTCCCTATTTATCACACCATCATGGTTTCTTTCTTTCATTTGATTGGCATGACATTTTACGGGCTTGGTCTCTTGATGTGTCCAATAGTTTTATTTTTGGAATTTCCTTTTTTGTCTTACTAGGGGAATGTCACCAAATATATCTGTCTGATTCCAGCAGGTACATATTTTTTCCTCATGATGCTGCTTCATGTTTCATTTAAGGCACAATTGCTGTATATATGACATGACAAATGGCAGGCTTAGCCTGGGTATGTTTGTTGCCAGTCTCTTCTGGCACTGAGTCAGCATGAAGGCCCATCTCTGTGTGTGCGGAGTTGGGAAAGCGGGGAGCAAATCATCATTTCTGTGTCTTGGATGGAGGAAACAAGCTCAGGCTAGCATATACGAAAACTAACTTCAGGTCACAAATGAGTGCCAGCTTTATGGCTTACATATATTGTATTTTCCAGTCACTCCCAGTTGATTTCCAGTTTTTGTTACAATCTTGACAAGAGTTCAGTGCTTTTTGGTAATTTAACAGCAGTGAGGATTTCCTTTGTAAAGTATTTTTATACCTAAATCTTATATGAAAAGAATTGTTGTTGCTTTACTGATACTAAAGACTTGGTTCATGTTAAGCCCTCAGATCCTTTGTTCAGGGCTTTGTGTCCAACCTGGTTTTTCCTGAAACTTTATTGTCTGCCTTGCTTGATCTCATGTTTCCATACTCTCCCTCTGCAGAACTGTCTTTTGTACCAAGTGAAATTGCATCCCTATCTTTTGAATGGCATTCACCACATAAATAGCTTTTTACATAGGTTTTGCAGATTTTTAAATCTTTTTTTTTTTTTGTAACTAATATGTCTTTGTATCTTCCTGACTTTTCTATGAGATAGGCAGCATGGGGATTGTTATTACCTGTTTTATGAAAGGAGAAAGAAGATACCAGTGAATGTAACTTGCAGCCTAGTGGTAAAGCCAGACTTGACCACGTCTCTGGGGTTCCAATCCACTGACCCATTCTCCTTCAGTATCATAGTAGTTTCTAGAAACATTTACTGAAAGTCTTCCAGTTTTCCCAAAATTGGGAAAAATTTATTATGTAGGTTGAGTTTTCTACAAAGAAGAAGATAGCTCTAAAATATTTTAGGATTTTTATTTTAAATCTTAAATTCAAGTAAGAAACAATCAGTTTTCTGAATTTCCAAATAGGACTGGTCCCTGTATTAGATAGGTTAAAGATGTTTACTTCCTGAGAACAAAACAGACTGAATCAGAGAAGATAGTGAGTGGCTAACTTTTCATTTTTCTCTTTATTTCTAGGGATAGTGTTTTACTCCTCTTTGTTGAAATATTGTGAGAAGGTCATGGGTGGAAGAATCACACCTTGTGTTCTTAGAATTTCTGTGTCCATGAGGTTTCTCAAAAATAATAATGGAGGTCCTCTAGCTATTGTGAGAGTTTTTGAAAACCTAATAGAAATGGTGCATTTCCATGAGGTAAAGCCATGACTCTTAAAATGTCAAAATTGGCTGGAATTTAATGAACCTGATTAGAAACCCTGGTTGGCAGCAAATGGACATGACCAATTAATTATTTTTGAAAATTGCTATTTGTTTGTAGACAAAGAATCCATGAGGAGAGAAAATAATCAAGTAAATGGTCTCGAAGCCTCATAATTGGTGTCTGAGAACTGTGCTGCAATGATGGAGGATGTCCACCAGGTGGCACCAAGAATTTGCTTAACTATGGCTCCCTAGTTAGTGCCTGGAACACATGGAGCCCATTTAAACTTCTCCCTTCCTGTGAACTATGGTTCGACTACAGTTGTACCCTCACTTCGGGTCCTTGACTTCCCCTGTACCCACCCCTTTAATGCTGTTGCTTGTGCTCTGTCTTGGCATCTGACCACATTCTGCCTAATGAAAGCTGTGGGTTTTGACCCCTTCTCTAGATGGAAAGCTTCTTGAGAGCAGACAGTAGCTGCATTCACTTTAAAGTGTCTTCCCTTCTTTACAGCTATGTGCTGTATAGTGATGTTTTGGTCAATGACAGACCACATATACGACAGCGGTCCCTTGAGATTAGTCCCGTATACCTTAGGTATGTAGTAGGCTGTACAATCTAGGTTTGTCTAAACACTCTCTGTGATGTTTGCACAATGATGAAATCGCCTAGTGACACATTTCTCACAACATATCCCCGTCGTTAAGCAGCGCATGGCTATTTCCAGCAGTGCCAGGCATAGGACCTCTGAGTTGCACCGTTGAATTACCATCTGGTAGTGATCTGTGGACTAATTGTGAACCTCCGTAGAGTTCACCTTCAGTATATTTTTCACCTGGAAGAGTATGTTTATTTTCCCAGTTGCATAAATGGCTTATTGGGGTGGGGTGGATTTTATGTCTGTAAGTTGGGTAGTTTCATATACTTTAAACTCCACCCTGACCAACCACTTTCACTAACTTCAAAGACAGTTATAGAAAATCATTCCTGTGGATGAGTCGGTCTTCCCTGCATCCCTCTAGTTGGTCTTGGCAGTGGGACCTCCATGCATGCCAGATAGCAGATGGCCACGGAGTTCTTAGGCTGTGTGCCATGTAGGTAGCAGCTTGGGAAAAGCAGAAAAAAATCTTTTGCAGATCTCATTCCTCTGCCTTATCTGAGCTCCCAGCAGGACTTCATGTAGCAGGCAGGTTTGATTAGGAAGTAATGCCCACTCTTCCCAAGGAAGGGCCAGGGAGGAGCAGTAGTCTTAAGAGCGTGTTGTAGTTGGATTGTGTCATTTTACTGGAGACCATTAAGGAAATGGATGTTCAGTTTTTCTTTTTCAGAAAACAGATACGGCTTTTAAGCCAATTGGAAGGAAATTTGAAAAGATTTTATAACAATGTTATTTCGTTATTACAGCCATCCTACACAGGCAACCAAGTTGTTTTCAGGCCCCACCCTGACTCTGGCTTCTTCATTGTGTAGATACCATTCCAGAGTGTTTGATTTGGTGACACATTCAGAAGTTCTCTGTTTGATAGCAGGCCCAAGAGTGTGCAAAACTCTGAGCAGACAGCATTTACATTTACTTTAGTTAAAAAATGAACCACATTCTAGGTGATATTGGAGATAGTAATACCAATGTGGTGTGTCTGACTGCTTCTCTAAAGTCTCTTTGTTTAGCTCCCTAGTGAATTTGATAAACTAAGGCCATATTTTTATTTCTAGAGCTGGGAGTTCCCAAGCTGGCAGTTTGACCTTTGAATGTTTAGAGTACCGTAAGTTCTGATTATGAGATGAAGAGAAAATGACAGCTTTTCTTGTCCATTAAAAATCCAGGACTCACTCATGGCAGTCCTTTGTTCTTTGTCTGCAAACAGAGCAGAGAAGGTGACCTCTGCTCTTTGGGATGGCTTTATTTTAAAGAATGATCAGAATCTACTTGTTAGGTGCTCATCTCTGTGAATCTATATTTTGGTTTATTATTACCTTTGGCAGTTGAATTTAAATTCATTGGGCTGGAGTGGGGTAGCTTATAAGTGTATTTTCAGAAATGCATCTAAAGTCTTTCGGGAAGAATTTGGGATCTGGCTAGCATAAATTAATATTGCTAATATGACTGCTTTGTTTCTAGGTGATTGGTGAGGACAATGTGGCAGTCCCCTCACACCTTTATAAGGTGATCCTGGCTCGCAGAAGCCCGGTGTCGACTGAACCTCTGGCACTAGGTGCCTTCGTGGTGCCCAATGAAGCCATTGGCTTCCAACCTCAGTTAAGTGAATTCCAAGTGAGCCTTCAGGACCTGGAGAAGTTGTCAGGACTGGTGTTTTTTCCTCATTTGGATAGAACTAGTGATATCAGGAATATCTGCTCTGTAGACACCTGTAAGCTCCTGGATTTCCAGGAGTTTACTCTGTACCTGAGCACAAGAAAGATTGAAGGGGCCCGATCAGTACTCAAACTGGAAAAGGTCATGGAAAATTTGAAGAATGCAGGGATTGAACCAGATGATTACTTCATGAATCGCTATGAGAAGAAACTGGAAGAACTCAAAGCTAAGGAGCAGTCAGGAATGCTGGAGAGAAAGCCATCTTAGTTTTTATCTCAGAAGATGTGTGATATCATCTGTGGTGAAGCAGGCGTGCCCTCTTCAAGCTAATGTATTTTAGAGGGCTTGCTTTAAAGAAATGATGGAACTCTAAATTTAAGATAAAATTTCTCCCTAAATGATGAAAAATCTAAAATTTTCTGGTCAGTATTTTATTTGACCTGGGAACTGATTATTAAGGAAACTGTCGCACCTGCAGATGGAGGGCTGATCTTGTGTCAAGTTAACAGGAGGACTGTGTCCACAGGCTGACACTGTGTTTGTGTCCCTCTGGATGTATGGTATGTGAAGGCATTTTATTTTTGTGTCTCCAAATTGTACCATGTGTTTGATGTATCTGTCAGCCTTCTTGGAACCCAATATTGTACATTTTCTTTCCCTAGCTCCTGAGTTGGTCTTAGAGCTTTTAGAAATCCTCTATGCATTATCCTGTCCACATGTATTATATATTTATTTCTTGTTCCTCCTCTTGTGGACCTGCCTTTCCTCCACTTCTGTCATATAGAAGCACTCACAATTATGTTTTCTTCTCACTTAGTGTGTTCTGTATGCTGAGCTCAATGTATTATCTTACAGTGACCCTCTGAGGTAAATACCGTGGGTACTTACTGTACCCATGAGGAAATTGAGGCTTAGATACCTTGCCCAAGGTTCACCTTTACAGAGAAGTAACCCACAAGGTATGAGGCATGCAGGGCTAAGAGCAGAAAGACAGCATGAGGTAGATTCAAATCTTTCTTGACACAGAGACTTCTGACTCAGAAATAACACACCTATGTGGGTATCTGTGATCCCGGAGCCTGCTGGGTTAGAGGGGTCTGGTTTCCTGTCTCCTATCAAGCCAGAGTGTCCTCTGACTTGAAGCCTCCTTAGCTCTTTAGGAAGAAACAGTAACAGGCATTTGAAGAGGACAGTGCTTTGTGTGGTTCATCAGAGGCCCTACTTGCCTCCAGGGATGCAATTCTTTTAGTGACCAGATGGTGCCAAATTGATGCATTCTTTTTTTCCCAAGTGAGCTTTTTGTTCCAAAGATTATGGAGCTTAAGAAGGGTTTGTGCCCACAGATCCACCAGCCCATGATTTGCTTGCTTTTTGCCTGCTTGGCTACCCAGGGAGCATAGGGCAGGTGGTGCTTTGGACCAAAGACCCAATGACAGTTATGTCTGGAGGAAGCAGTGGCTGTTTTTCTGAGCCAGATCTCTAGATTTAGGTTTATGCAGAATCCTTTCATAGGCCATCATAAGTATAAGCAGTAAAATATCTTAAATAGGTCAGAGGAACTTGTCGAAATGTGTCTCATCACTGCTCTCTTTCCAAGTGATATTACAAGAACAGTTTTTGTGGCGTTTTTGTGTTTGTCTCACAGAAATGCTGAGGCTTTACAATAAAGGTAAGATGATAATGATTGACCTCTTCTGCTCCTTTATTTGGGTAAAAAAAAAAAAAAGTTGGGTGGGTGGGGTCAGAACTCTGTAGCCTGATTAGTACCATTCTGTTTTATCACTCTGTTTCCCATTAGCTTGTGCCAGTCCTTCTCAGGGACAAAGAACCAAAATGTCACTGTGACCAAAAAATCTGTTACTTTCTCTCCTCATTGGAGTTGTGATGGTGGGACCTGAGTGTGTCTCCAGGAGCCTGAGGGGACGGCTCTGTGGGAGAAGTCCTGCGTACCTACCACCCATCTCTAGAGGCTCGCCCCCATCGTCTTTCCCCCAGGCCTGTCACTGTGCTTTTTTCTGACCTGAATTTCCAACAGCCTTCTCTCTCCTGCCTCTCTGCCTAGATGGTGGAGAATCTTTATTTCTAGATCAATAACTGAAAGTGTTTTATGTTTTTAGTTCCTAAGAAAAATGCTACCTGCTCGTTGTGAAAAATAGAAATAACTGCTCATAATAAAAAAAAATGCAGTCTCCCAATCTTTATATGTAAACGTTTTGTTTGTATACACTAGCGATGCTTGAATTGTTGTCTCAACACTTCCATTAAGAATTCTTCCAAAACAAACTTTAAAATGTAAGTATTGAGTAGAGCTTAGATCACTTCAGCCTCCCCTACTGGGACTGCTGGTTATTTGGACTCAGATGCACCTGATCCCTAGGCCTCTCCGCAGTATCAGGTGTGTCCCTCTGATCAAAGATGCAAGCACCTCATTACCAAACCTGAGCATATCACCATCCAATTGGTCCCTCCCTGGGTCTGGGTTCAGCCAAATTCTTAGGCTGAGCCTCGGACTCTGCCTTCTGTTCTGTTTACTCACAGGGAGTACCTGGTCCGAGAGAAAGGCTGCTGTACGAGAATGGCTGGTCTGTGCTGCTGGAAGCCCTCATCTGTGGGTGAGGGAGCTCACTCCCTAATATCTTTCCACCTCCGGTGACATCTTTATTTTGAGACTCCAGGCTCTGGTTTCTGGATTGAGGCTGTTTCACCAATATTGTATGCAGCAAAGGTGGACCTTGTGCAAGTGGCAAAGGTAGAATGGGTGAGCTAGTGCCTTAAATACCTGCTAGCACTGGCACCTTGGCACCTTGACCTTCAAATAACTGAAAACCTCTGTTGCTCCTTCAGGCCTTTGAATATCTGCCAGCTGGAGAAACATAGTCTATTCATGAGAGAATAGCTTCCTGCAGAGCTGGGCTCAGCCTGCGACCCTGCTCTTAGAATGATCCTGAATATTGCCATGTCACCTGTGTTCCCTGGCCTCATTCTTGTGACTACATAAATGTCATTGACATCAACATCACAAATCTCAAACTTTCTTTCAGCAGCCCATCGCTGACCCCATCTCTGTACCCAGGGTCTGCTTTTCTGTTCCCTGCTCACTCCTTCACTCCTCCACCCTGTGTGCCCTTCCCCATTCTGCGCCGTCCTGCACACTCCACCTTCCTCCTTGATTCTCACTCTTAATTAATTCTAGTGGAGATGGTCAGAGGTGAGCTCATATCAGCCTTGGAATTCCTGCTCCTGCCTACCTCCATGCCCAGCCTCTCAATACAGCCTGCTCTTTTGGATGTCATCATTCATGGAGATTATCCATCAGGGGATCCAGAGCTTCTTTTTCCAGTCCAGCCCACTTCCAGGGACCAACCCTCAGGTCATCAGAGAGGGCCAGGCAGGGTGAACCACACTTTGACGTGGGCCTATATAATTTATAGCAGTGGGGAAATGGTGGTAGGGGGGCTTCTCTTGTGTTTTTGAACATGCCAACATGGCCTAGTGTCTGGTCTGCCCCTGAGTACACAGTACCTCTAGGGGTCACTGTGGCCTAATGGCGCACTGCAAGACTCAGAATCTCAGCTGTGACCCCGCCTCAGCACAACCTCTAGCTCTGTAAGCTGCAAAAGACGTAGTCTGCCTCAGACATCAGGCTCCAGGCTCTTGGCTCAATGGAACAGCAGAGGTTATCGTGTCTGGTGGGCCTCATGTTTGGCTCACATCAGAATAGCCTAGATAGCTTAGTTCCCCGCCCCCCCCATTTTATTTCGAAAAATTTCAAACCTACAGAAAAGTTGAAAGAAGAGTACAATGAATGTACTCTCTGTCAATATTTTGTCTTATTTGCTTTCTCTTTTTTCTTGAACCATTTAAAAGTAATTCATTATTTAAAAAAAAGTTATAGACATGACGCTTCACTTTTTATTACTTTGACCTGTATCACCTAAGAATAAAGACATTACCCTATATTTCCAGAATACTACTATCGTATGTAAGAAAAGTATCAAGAATTGAATATCATCTACTAAAAATCTCTATTAAAACTTGCTGACCAGCCCTGATGGCCTAGAGGTTAAAGTTTGGCACGCTCTGCTTCAGTGGCCTAGGTTCCGTTCCCAGGCAGAGAACCACAACCACTTGTCTGTCAATAGCCGTGCTGCAGTGGCAGCTCATACAGAAGAACTAGAAGGACTTATAACTAAAATATACAACTGTATACTGGGGCTTTGGGGAGAAAATAAAAAAGGAAGATTGGCAACAGAGGTTAGACTTTCTTGGCCAAAAAAGGATTTTGATTCAGCTATAGCTGGGTTTGCTCCTTAAAAAAAAAACTTGCTTAGGTGTTCCCAAAATATCTTTCATCCTTTTTTAAAAAATCCAAGTTTTAATCAAGGTTCACATATTGTCTATTTTGTTATTATTTCTAGTCTCTTAATCTAGAACAGTCTGCCTGGTAAGCTTCAAAAAAATATAGATTCTCCAACCCCACCCTTGAAGATTTTGATTCAGCAGGTCTCATTTGAGACTGGGATCTATATTTTTTAAGCAAGCAACACTGGTAATTCTGTTGATTAACCAGGATTTGGAACCAGACCATGCCCTCCTTTGCCCTCACTCTCCCACAGCACATGTTGCCTAGACAAGAGTCCTCTGGGGAGAAGATGGTCTTTGAGCTTGTGAATATCGAGAGAACTTTGTCCCATTCCTTTGGGCCCCCAGGTACCCAATTTCCTTTATAATAGAGCTTCATAAAATTAGGCTGAAATCTTCCGAGTGACTCCTACCTGTCAATGACAGGTCCTGATGGCCATTCCAAGCTACACAGAACTGGCTGCAGCTGCTTTCACCTGATAGTCCTTTAGAGATAGGAAGCTCATAAAGGTATTAGGGCATCTCATTTCATGCTCAGGCACTCATGGATTTCAGATCCTTCCTCGTGATTTTATGTGCCCTTGTGGTATGGCAGCTACATCTGGGCAAAGCACTCAGGATGCAGTGATAGCAGTGCTGAATTGAGTGGAGGGGTTGACCTCCCTTGTAAGGGACACTCTACTTTGCTCACTGTACCATTGGTTCATCTGGAACTTGCTCCAACTAACTGCTCTAGGTCTTTTTCACGTGATCTACTGTCGCATCACTTTCCCATCATGCTCTTACGTAGTCAATTTGTAGAACACAAATGTGGGATTATGTGTATGCCCAACTGTTAAGATTTCATTTTATTATAGTTTCTACCCATCTTCAAGTAAGTTGACGTTCTTGATGATCCTGATTTGGCCATCTGACATGTTAGGTAAGCCTCCCAGCTTTGAGGTTGCAGATTGGATAAACAAGCCTTCATTGTATCTGTTAAAAACATGGAATGTCTGAGACAGAGCTAGAGAATTTCCCTTTGGTAGAAAATTCATTTTACATGGCAACCTG